TGATTTGTGGGAGAGAGTGATGCTGGGAACCGTCTATTCTGCCATCTTGACTGGAACTCAACAAATTGAACATTTAAACATAGGGATTATTATTCCCTGAACTAGACAGCGAGCCTGTTAAGAATAGGATCTAATATTATCTTGCTTGGTAAATATGTATTGAATGACTGAATCCCTAAGGACTAGTTATTTATACATAAAGTGACTGGGTTTTTTCCAAGGTAAGATATAAGTATTCAGTGCCTGTCCTGTGGCTCATTCGGGAGAGTGCAGTGCTGGTAGTGCCGAGGCCGCGGGTTCATATCCTATATAGGGATGGCCGTTGTGCTCACTGGCTGAGCGTGGTGCAGACCACACCTTGCCAAGGGTTGTGATCCCCTTACTGGTCACAAAAAAAAAAAGATATAAATATTCATACGGAGAAGTCCCTCATAGTGTCTTCCTGCGACTTAGAATTGTGAAGCTTGGAAAATAAATCTTGGAATTTTTATCAGATCGATGAAGTCCTGAGACAGGAAGACAAAGCCGAAGCTATGTCTGGCCATATTGATCAGTTTCTGATAGCCACGTTCATGCAGCTAAGACTCATCTACAACACACACATGGCTGATGAGAAATTGGAGAAGGATGAGATCATCAAGCTGTATAGCTGTATCATCGGCAACATGATTTCGGTAAGGGCACCTCTGCAGAACTAGAGCTTCCCTTCAGTCTCTCATGCTGGCTAGGTTCTAAAGCTAGCATCTGTGTGGATGTTCCAGTGAGTCCTATGTCACTTGGTAGAATTTTACATGTGTCATACAGCAAGCTACTGACTACTACACTTTAGCTTACCTTATTGTTAGGATATGAAGTAGAATGCTTACAAACTACCTAGAATTCTGCTTTCTGCCAGTTTCTTCGTCAGGCATGGTAGGCCCTAGCTGGCATTTCACAGATAAGTGTGCTTACATTTAAAATATTTGTATAACAGAAAGGAAGCACAACAATTAATTTTGGCTATTACTGAAAGCTTGAGAGAGTGTGGTGATTTTTATTATTTTCTTAATACTCTGAATTTTTAAAAATACAATATAATTGAATGTTTACTAGAATATACTACCCATGTCTATCTTCTTTGCTCTATATGTTGTTTTACACCTCCCTAACATAGTTAAGGCTGTATAGCNGGGGGAGTAAGCCTCCCCCTAAATATAGTACTTTTTATGGTGTCCATGCTGAAACATCATTGTTAAACAGTCCCAGTTATATAAAATTGTATATGTTTGTGCAGTAAAGAATAATAAATGAAAGCAGGACAACTGGCTTTCACACTAGGGGGCACCATGCACATTGTAGTGTATATAAATGGTGCCCCTGGAGTTGTATGGCATGCCGCCTTGCCCAAAAGGAGGGTCACTGAAGCTTAATCTCAGTGTCATTTATGTACTCATAAAAATAAAGATATTTTTACTACAGTGGATAAGATATACATATTTTTCCTACAGAACATTTTACCATTAGTGATAACCAAAGAACTGAACC